AAAACTATGAAAACTTAAACAGGCTCGGTAAGGTAGCTATCAGCTAAACAGGGATACACGCAAAACAATACACGAGATGAAAACAGAAAACACGGAATGGCTCAGTAAGGCAGCTAACACTTGGGGAGTGAAAAATGCAGAACAATACTCGGCATTGAGAGAGAGGAAGTCCATGGCTTAAGTAGCATGTCTGACTGGATTCAGCTGTGTGTGTGTGTGTGTGTGTGATCAGTGCATTCAGCTGTGTGCGTGTAATCAGTGCAATGGTTGATGGGAAATGCAGTCCAGGGTGATGTGTAACAGTCTGTGTGGTGTGAGAGTCAATGCAATGGGAGAATAACCTCTAGTGGCAATTGGCCTGAAGCCCACGGACCGGATTCGTGACAATAATCAAGTATTATTTAATGATATAACTTTAGTAATTAGAATTAAAACCATGTATGAATGCACATTAGTAATTTTAACTGAACTTAGGACTGGTGGTGCTGCCTTTTTGGCCATTCAGTCTTTCTGTAAAAAAATGGGGAAAAACTAACAATAATACTGATGATAATAATAATACTTAGTGCATTTTATATTGTTCTTATTAGTAGAATTCTAAGGATTAACGAGATTCTGGATTCATGAATATTAATCAGGTTGTGTGTGTTCGCTCAAACTGATTTGCTGAAATCAAAACAGGGATGATAATAGGTGAGCGCCAGCCAATGAGATCGTCGTTTGCGCATTAATTCCGCCTACTACCGGAGAACCCGGCAGTTCTTAAAAGCTGAAGAATTCCGAAAGAACTCCATTATTTTGACAGGAAAAAACAACAAAGTATATCGTTTACATGTAGCGCGTCAATTCTGCATGGTATGCAAGACTCTCTCGCTCTCTCTCTCTTTGCATGTGTGTGAGACAAAGTGACGACGAGTCGTGCGCCTTCACACTAGAGTTCACAGTCCGTCAAATACAGGTGCGCTGCGCATCCATTGAGATGAACTGAGAAATATAACAGATCACTTGACAGAGAATGAAACTCTGAAGCGCTCAGTCAGAGAATGTTCGATGAGTGAAAATATATCTGTGCTAAACTTATACTTAGCGTCCAACTCACGAGTACTCTGGCGAGTAAAAACTGAGAATCAGTTGATATTTACTGTACTGGCAATATAGTTTTATATAATTATCTTATAAATGAGAAAAATAATTATAGATCATTAAAAGGTTTCTACACTTTCTGTGAGTGTATCTGTTTCACACTCCTGATGTTCTAGAGTAATCCTTTCATTCCTGTAACTCAACAGCCAAACTGCCAGAGGGTTAAATGCATGTGCCCGCTCTGCACTGTTTTCTTGATGCCATTAGGCTGGCGGTGCCACCGGACCTTGGGCCCTTCATTGCTGCTTGCAGCTATATATTTAGCCTTCTTAAATGCATACTGCCCACTGTGCTTTGTTTTCCTAAAGACATGGGGTGGCAATGGAACAGGTGTGAGTTTCCTATCATCACTGCTTGCAGCTTTAATTCTTGCAACAAAATATTCTGGGGGCCATGACATTTTTGTAAAGATGATCAAATATACTGCCGCTGGCTGACATTTAAAAAAAGGGGGGGGGGGGGACTCCCTGGGGGGTG